ATCAGAAAGGAAAAAAAGGATCTAAGATTCAACTATAAAGATAGTAATTAAAAACCTAAGCCTGGAGAGATTAAGAGCACTGGCTGCTCTTCCAGAGGACCCAAGTTTAATTCCCAGCATCCACATGGTAGCAGACAAAGCACTCATATCAAAACAAAACAAAACAAAAACATAAAGGTAAAAGCCAGGTGTGGTGTCTCACACTTTTAATTCCAGCACTCTAGAGGCTGAGGCAAGTGAATCTCTGTTGAGGTGAGCTTGCTCTGCTAGCAAGTTCCAGGCCAACCAGATAATACACAATGAGAACTATCTATAACAAATAAAGAAAAAGCAACAGAAAGCTTTATATTCTTTAGTGCTAAATCTGTTTTTTGTTCCACCATAATCTTATTTTCTCCTGTACCGGGGTCAAACCCTAAAGCCTTGCATTGCTAGTCAAGAGCTATATCCCTGCACTATAATCCCAGCCCTAAGAAATTTTCACCCATAATACAGATTAAACCTCAAAAACTTAAATCCTTTTTTTTTTTCTTCCGAGACAGGGTTTCTCTGTGTAATGGCCCTGGCTGTTCTGGAACTCACTCTGTGGACCAGGCTGGCCTTGAACTCACAGAGATCCACATGCCTCTGCCTCCAGAGTGCTGGGATTAAAGGTACGTGCCACTATCACCTGGCTAGAACTTTTTTTTAAAAAAAATTTTTTTTATTTTTTTTGAAAAAAAAAAAATATCCCCCCCCCCCCTTTTTTTTTTTTTTTTTTTTTTTTTTTTTTTTTTTTTTTTTTTTTTTTGAGACAGGTTGCTGTGAGCTGCCTGATACGGGTGCAGGGAACTGAACCTGGCTCCTTTGTAAGAACAGTATGTTCTCTTACCAATGAGCCATCTCTCAAGCCCCTAGGAGCATTTTTCCAAAGTTCTAACTTACAGTTTTACTGAATGTTACTTAAAGAGCCTTGGGACTGGCAAGATAGCTCAGTCTGATAACCCAAGTTTGGTCCCCAGAAGCTACATGTTGGAAAGACAAAGTTGTCCTCTAATTGCCCTGAGTACACACACATAAGATAAATAAATACAAATAAAAATTTTATCTGTTAGGAGCTCAAGCCTGTAATTCTAGCACTTAAATGGTGAAACAGGAGGATTAACAGTTCAAGGCAAGGTTGAGCTACATAACAAGACTTTGCCTTTAAGTAAATGTAAAATATACAAATTTCTGTAATTATGCTTTGAAAAGAAGTAGATTAAACAGTCCTATGAATTTCTTTATTTTAAAACATTTCTGTTTCCATTTGTTTTCCACTGTGAGTCTCCAAGAGGAAATGTTTCCAGGTCAATGAACTGTTCTCCCATTTAGTAACTGCTATGGTCTGGATATCAGTGTCTCTAGACAGGGATCAGTTTTGTATGTTGAAACTTAGTCTCTAGTAGTAGGTAGTATTTTAAAGAGGGAATTTGGAAGGTGGGTATGTCATGAGGACATAGCCTTCATGAGCAGAATCAGTGCCTTTTAAAAGAGGCCCCAGAATCCCCTCATCCACCTGTCACAGTAAGATCAAGCAGCAGGTCCCGGACTGGACCTCATAGCACACACCTTTAATCTCAGCATTCTGGAGGCAGAGGCAGATACATCGGTAAGTTCCTGGCCAGCCAGTGTTACATAGTGAGATTCTGTCTTAGAGAGTAAGAGAGGAGGGTTGGGGGGGAGGAGGGA